TTGCGTGAACATTTGGGTGGCGTTATGCAAATCATCCCACATAGTGAGGTAGATATGTGGGGGCGTGTTAGAACGAGCTGTTTTAGGTAGGCGTGGCTGACTCTTAACTTTTATAAAGAATATCTCTTTGGATTTGAGACTTTAGTCTTTGCAACTTTACAGATCTTCTTTATGCACCAAGAGCTTGTAACACTCCAAAGAGAAAGGAACAATTGAAATTGCATCATATGACCCCTTTAAAGTAAAAAAATGGATGATAAATATTTCGTATGGAATTAAATGGCAAGCACTTTGAGTGTCTTGTTCATCATATTTCTTTTCATATAAAAACAACAGAACTGCAATCATATGTTTATTAGCAACACAGCATGTAAGTGTGAGTAATGCGATATCCGCCTTTGATCTCGTTGGTATCTGTTTACTTCGAGAGGTCAGAACTGTCCGTCTTGACTGCGCTTATTTCACTCCTCCCCTCACTGCACCCGCCTACTCTCGTCTACATTTCAGGCGAGGCGCATCTCAAACAAGAATATTTGCAGGTCTTGTCTTTTTCTCCTAGAGGTGACTTGCAGCCAGGACCCTGTATGTTATGGTACTAAATTAGTTTGAATCGTTTCACCCCCACAGCGTCTCGTCTCTGGCAACAAGCTCGATTTGTGTTGATTGCAAGTGATGTGACGTCGCAGGTGGCGATTGCAAGTGACATTGTAATGTTTCTTTTTTCTTGTCTTCACCACCTGGTTACGTTTGTAAAATGTTGAGAGATTAAATAAATAAAAAAGATTGCAAGTGACGTCACTTGTGGAAGCGCAGGTGTCTGGGAGGTTTGTGGCTAGAAGGGACACAGCAAAACCGGAAGCTAACAATAAATAGAATTTTCTACATATTAGATTGTGTTTTATTAACGTCTACACCTACCCCAACCCAAAACCTACCCCTTAAAATAATGCAAAAATAATCATTGTTGAACTGTGTGAGAAAAATTAAGCTATATTGATGTGCGCATGCCATCTATCCTTAACCATCTGAGAGCAGCCTATTGGAGACCCTACTGGGTCTGACTCTACTGTTTTATATATTTTGTAGGGGTATAATGGTAAGTTACACGTATTTGTACTGAAAATTGTCGGCATGGGTCTATCAGTTTGCTACGCATGTGTACCGAAGCATTGTTTTAACCACTGCACGAGTTGAACTCGAATTGGAAACTTCCAGTTTTATATTGTTACTTTTGATAAGAAACAAAGTCTCATATTTCGATTTACGTCCTTTTTTTCAGGAAATTCAAACAATAAATGCCATTTTGACGCTCTTAGATGTGGCGGGATGAGCGCGATCATCCCATCCTATTTACTACTAGTTTTAGTGTGAAATAAACATGAATGAACATCTCATGCCTCACGTAATCCCTCAATCAGCGTTTCAACCACGAAAAGACGTCAATAAAACAGCTTGTAAACAAAATGTTACATATCATTTCATTAACTCAAGTCATCAGTGTCCACAGCTCGTTAGTTCGCAAAATATTAGTCTATACTCATATTCTACTTTACCTGTTAGTGATGTCTTAATTATTTAATGTATGCTTAAATCCGTTATGAAGCAAGTTATGACAGCCACTGTGTAAATGAATATTTTCAAAAAGTAGAAATTTTAAAGTAGAAAAACTGCATTATGTGCAATTTACATGTTTGCATAAAAATTTTTTTAAGTTGAGTGTTGATTATTGTATTAAAAAATAAATAGTAGCCTAAATTAATTTAAGTTTGGGCTCTGTTGTTAACTGTAAATTGTAAAGGACTTAGTTTTGAGCATAAGCTGAGGTAGATTTTTATGACTAAGAAAATTTTTATTTAATTTATTTAAAGAAAGAACAATTTGCCCAGTAAACCAATGATTAATAATAAAAAAAATCTGATTTCGTTCCCCCCCCCCCCCAAAACCATACAAAACCGTGACGTCAAAACCGTGAGGAATAGCCTACCGAAAAAAATGTGTGTACTGTTACACCCCTAATATTTTTTATTAAAAATTATATATATATATATAAATAGCCTATAAAATAATAATAAATAAAATAAAAAAATAACCCCCACCCAACCCGCTGTGGGAATTCTCACTCCAAGTTTAACTTAAAAGTTTGCAGCCCAGAGGATTTTGTTTACCTCAAACTTTGCACTCCATAAAAATCTTATTGTTTATACACACATATACATGTTATTTGCACCTCTGGTTAGATGCTAACTGCATTTCATTGGCTCTGTACTAAGTTGACATTTAGTCTAGAACTACAGTAACATCATGTTTACACAGCGCACACAACTTACTCCCCAATTCTCTCAACATGGGCACAGGAGAGCTGTCAGTCAATAATTGAAAAAGCAAAGTAACTCAAAGTATTTAAAAAGTAATGCTTTACTAGTTACTTGAAAAAAGTAATCTGATTACATAACTTGCAATGCCTTACTCCCAACACTGGTCATTGGCTCTGGCAGACTCTTATATTCTCCTTTAGACAGCAAGACATGAAATCTCTAGAAATGAGCAAGTAGATGATGTTGCCAAAGTATAATACCTTACACAGATCTGAAGTCTCTATCAGAACTAATGAGATTAGTGACAAATAAATTACAGGAAGTCTACTGATGGACCAAGAATAACATTCTACTGCACCAAGCTTTGGGATCAATTCACATATATGTGCATCATGCCAGAGCTCAGTCTGTCAAACATATTATTAAACATATTTATATCCCGTTATGATGTGCCACATCTGAGAGTTCAGTGTTTATTATCATCAGCTCACTGAATGAACTCTTCATCTCAATAACTAATGAAGATGCAATTCACTGTATGGAGAACCAAATAAATAAACATCAGATGTGAGTTTGTGGTGTTTTATTAACACATGCAGCAGTCAATGATAAACATTAATGCAATCATGAGAGTATGAAAAGAGAACATGAATAAATCATAAACAATATAAGCATGAATCACAATGTTTACTACACAAGTGATGAAATGAGAAGCACATAAACAAAACAAAAACTAAATGAAATTACAGACAGAGCTTTCTGTGATAATGTGAATACTGTGTAAAAGTGAAAAATAAAACTTTTATTGCAGACCTGTTAAATTAAGTTGTTTGTACATTGTGGGTTGTTTTCTTTAAGTGTGTAAATACAGAGTATATAATAATATTTGAGGTCGCAGAAATTTGAAAACAAATGAATATTTTTCTCATTCAAATGCAAGTTCTGCAATTTACAAGATGATCGGAAGCTTTGTGCCAAATGCAGCGGGTCAGTAGATACTTCCTGCAGCTGAAACGCCTCACTTTTTTCCGAACACAAGAACTATGTTTGCATATTGTTTACATTATGAACACAGGCTGAGGTACCTGTACAATAGAGAGGATATTGATCATCAATACTCATCAGTTTAGAGTTGTAAAGGCCCTGAGCTCATGTGTGATATGTTGACACAGCTGCTCTTTCCTGTGTGTCTAACAAACACCATCCACTGAGAGACAATTGAAGACCTTTAGTGCTCAATAGAAGGTGAAAGACGCCCATGCAGCAAACGAATCTTCAATAAAGCAATGCATTATCATTTAGGTGGATTATTGTTTGTTTCTCCGCCTGATGATGCTGTGTTCTGACACTGGGCCGGATGTGATGTCACTTCCTGTTAGAGTTGCTGTCTCTGGCTGTGATTGGCTGGTGGAGTCACGCAAAGAAATGTCCTCTATCTTGGTGTTTCTGTTGCCATCTGTCCTCGCATCATGGTCACTGACGGACTCTTCATCAGGACGGCTCGTCTCATGATCCTCGCTCTCTCTCATCTGTGCGTCTGAGCTCCTGCGAGGTGAATGAACACAACAGAAACGCTCATTCAGCTCTTTCCCACCGTTCTCAGGAAGACCTGCGAAAATAAGATGCTACATTACACACCGATCGTGAATAAAGACGACGTGTGAGAGGATGTGTAAATGATTTCCGAGCAAAACGAGCAAGACTTGATCTGCGCATCTCACCGTCCCACTCGCGGCCACAGGAGTGGTCAGTGTTTGCTGGGACAGTGTCCATGAACTGGCCCTCCTGCATGACGCGAGTGATCTCCTGCAGCTGGTACAGTAACTGCTGCTCCTCATCCACGGCCACCGGTCCTCCCAAACTGCACCAAAGCGAACACACATGTCACATCCAAACACACACACACACACACACACACACACAGACAGATATCCACACCTGTCTGAGCCAGCGCTCGCTGCAGAAATGATTCTCTCGATCACGTCCTTCGTCTCATTCAGTCTGTCCTGCAGTTGAGCCAACTCAAAATCAGCTGAGAAAGAGAGACGGGATCCGTTACCCGACACAGACAGACACAGGTAATCACAAAAGTACATGTGTCTAAATATAATCTGATGTCCAGGTTGTGTGTATGAGCTCATACTTATTTTCCTCTTCATGTTTTCTGATCTGACAGCAGTGAATCGGCTCTTTGGAGGTTCCGCTGTTTTGCCTCTGGACGTGATCTTTAACAGACACAAACAAACACTTCACATGTAATCTGAGGCTCCGGCTGAAACATCTGAAATCCCTCGGTGCCGTCTCACCTTAAACAGAATGTAAAGGATGTACAGTAAGATCCCGAAGCCGTAGATGGGAATGATCTGCCCTGCGAGGTTGGACTTCCCTCCGGTACTGGTGCCAGTACCGGCTCCTTTGGCCCGGGCGATGGCTTCAGGGTTGTGGGCTCTGGAGAAGTGCCGCTGCTCCTCGGATACAGGCGGTCTGTGTGGCATGGGAGGCCCTACACAGACAGATATCCACACCTGTCTGAGCCAGCGCTCGCTGCAGAAATGATTCTCTCGATCACGTCCTTCGTCTCATTCAGTCTGTCCTGCAGTTGAGCCAACTCAAAATCAGCTGAGAAAGAGAGACGGGATCCGTTACCCGACACAGACAGACACAGGTAATCACAAAAGTACATGTGTCTAAATATAATCTGATGTCCAGGTTGTGTGTATGAGCTCATACTTATTTTCCTCTTCATGTTTTCTGATCTGACAGCAGTGAATCGGCTCTTTGGAGGTTCCGCTGTTTTGCCTCTGGACGTGATCTTTAACAGACACAAACAAACACTTCACATGTAATCTGAGGCTCCGGCTGAAACATCTGAAATCCCTCGGTGCCGTCTCACCTTAAACAGAATGTAAAGGATGTACAGTAAGATCCCGAAGCCGTAGATGGGAATGATCTGCCCTGCGAGGTTGGACTTCCCTCCGGTACTGGTGCCAGTACCGGCTCCTTTGGCCCGGGCGATGGCTTCAGGGTTGTGGGCTCTGGAGAAGTGCCGCTGCTCCTCGGATACAGGCGGTCTGTGTGGCATGGGAGGCCCTACATGAGACATTTACATACTGCCATCAGTGTTTACATTTGATGAATCCTCCTGTTCATAATCGTCGGGGGGCTCCCTTTCATCTCATCATATAAATATCTACACTTACGCATTATTTACATACTTTTCATACATATATCGAGCACCACTGTTTATTTAAGGTTTTTGTATATGTAAAAACCATTTAAAAATACATTTCATGTAAAGCTGTGTATTAATACAAAATAAAATAAAAATCAATATTTATTTGCCGTTATGCTTTACAAAAAGTATTTGAATTTGTTTTTATTTTGGTTATAGGTGCATTTAGAGGACAACGCAATGCCTTTCAAGACTCAAATGCAGAAAACATTTATTCTTAGCGATTGTGTACTAATGAAATAAAACGATTCATGTATGTAATAATAGCAGTAATAATAATAACAATGCCCGTGTACCTTCGGTGTGCGGTGTGTCTCTCTTTCCTCGCGATAAAAGCATTTTAGGCAGCAGAAGCGCGACGCACAACACCACGCATGACACTATAGTGAGCTTCTGAAATGTCGAAATAGACATTTTGAATGATATCTGATTTCAGAGAGACTCTAGAGTGACCGCGGCACCTCTGTATCTGCATCTGTGACGCGCACCTGCCTCAAAGAGAAACTCTGTAGTGATAAGGGCAACGGTCTATAGATGGCGCTGCGGAGGCGCTGCCGCCATTTTGGACTGAAAGCTGCTGAAAGTCGCTAGAAGACGCGAGAGAGCACGTGGGCGAAACGCAAGCTTCTGCTCCTTTCTTATCTTACAATCTCATTCTCTTTTAGATTGGTTTTCTCTCACACACAATTGCTGCTGAATGTTTTGATCTTTTACTACCACTTCCACTTTATTCCTCTATTAAGATTTACAGTTAATGTTAAATGTGCGCACTTGATATACAGTACAGAAATGACAGAAACCTCACAATAGTTGGTGGAGTCCTTGATACAGTGTTTGCAAGTTGTTCATATTTTGTGATATTTGAACTGTTTAAAAAAAAAAAAATGTTATGAACGTGTACCATTTATTTTAATGTATTTTTTATTTAAAAATCAACATTGTGAATACATATGTTGTACTGTGTCTGACTCTATTAAATCACTACCAAACATCACATCTGGTAATTTCACGACCTTAAGTTTTTAATTTAACAAGGAAAATGTACGATAGAACATAGATATGGGTAAGTAAAGGGTTTGCAGTAATTGTATCTTTTTACTTGGCAAACAGTAAGCAGTATGAAACAGTCTAGTCAGTTGGTGGAGGGGACCTATCTATAATATTTATATTTAAGTATGATACAAATATATATACATTTTAAATGTGTTATTGTAAGTTGGTCAAGCGCGACTGGCTCCTTTTATTCTACGGCGTATTTGTGTAGTTTTCAGTCCAAAATGGCGGCGGCACAGTCATGTCATGGGCGCAACTGTTGCTATGGAGCGTTCCTCGCGCATCCACACAAAAACAGACTCTTCATTTCGGAGTGCTGCCATAGAAACGGAATACAGACAAAACGAGGAAGTGGGCGAGGTTTAGCAGTCTCCTTTATAATTGTCTTATCTGACCTTTTCACAGTATTTTCAGTTCAAACAGAAAACAGTTTGTCAGCGGCATCATTGTAAAGTGCTGTCCAGTCCGCGGCTGAAGCCTGAAACTGCGCTGGTCACCCGAGGACTGTGACTTTTCTCAGCGCTGATGAAGATAGACTAATCACGTTCTGCAGGCAAGCACAGGAAGCATCCTGGAGGGCGCGGTAATGCTGGCGGGATGCACCATCACCGAATCAACTTCGATAAATAGTGAGTAAAAAGCTGAACATCTTCAGGGCGCTTCACTGGTTTCATCCAGTCACGAAATGGAGGTGTAATTGAGCAGTGTAGGTTATTACTGCAGCTTCAGACACTGCTCATACGGCCGAAACTGAGACTTTAAGGCCTGTGCTACAAATAGAGATTCAGTGCTTGACCTCATCTGAAACCGGAGTGGGTTTCCTGGAAATGTTAGGAAGTTTGTGCTTTACAGGCCGACTGAATACAGTTTTCCTAACTTTCTGCTGGTCTCAAATATCTCAAGTACTCATTAAATTAATTCGGCCTCCCACATGTTAAGACCTTAAAAGTCTTAGAGCAGAGACGGTCAAAGTCCAGGCATTAATCCTGTAATGAATTTATGGTGTTTTCCAATACAAATATCTAAATATTCTTAAATCAAGATACATTTACTTTAGATGAGAAACTAAACAAAATTGAGCGAGTTAATGCTTTTAAAACTAGAACATTTTACTTTTCTGAGTAGTTTTACATTTTGAATAAAAAAAAAAACCGTAGCTTCACCAGAATGGTATGAAACTTGGTGACTTCAATGGCACTTGGTATGTGAACACCCACACAAAATTGAGGTGCATGATTAGAAAATACTAAGTGGTCATAAAAAGTCTCGCATGGTCTTCGGTCAAAAATGAGGGGAAAAAAATCGAAAATACAGGATTTGTGTACAATCCTAACCCCCACAATGCAGAAAAAAAATTGCACAGCAATGAAGGGGTGAAACTCTAAAACATCTAGAGAGCAAAATCAACACCAACTCACACACTTGTACACACACACCTATGAACTGGTGTGACTGTAACACTGCAACTATGTAAAATAAAAGTAATAATTCAACTACAATGCAGTAAAAAAGTGGACAGCAAGGAAGGAGTTACACTCTAAAACAAGAGTGCAAACCAAGATACACACACACTTACTCATACACACACATACAGAATTATACATACTCAAATGAATTGGTATGGCTATAACCATATAGCCTAAATGAGTCGGAAAACTGAAATAAGGTTAAAATCAGATCCGACCCAAAAGGATTAAGCTCTGATAAAGCATTCCTGTTAATTTGTTAAATTTTTATAGAATTTTAATGTTGTGTGTAACAAAATGCTTTATGTTCAGGGTTAAATGTAGAAATAATGCAAAAACCTACACTTCAAATCAATTAAAACAACAAAAAATATAAACCTTGACAAAGTAGTTTGAGTGCCTTAATATACATTTAAATCCACAACCTAATAAAAGTAAATTATGTATAAAAACAGCTAGGGAATTCACAAGCCTCTCTATAGAGTCCTACATGGGAATCTAGTGGTTACACCATGAAATTACATGTGTTTTTTTTGTTGCTCTCACCAGGAGGTGCTATTCTACCTTAAAAAATGTAATTTTAAAGGTCTAGTCTCCATTTTAATCTGAAATACTGCATTAATTGAGAAATTATTTTAATGGTAAATAAAACCGAAATATTGAGGAACATCACATCTTTTTTTTTTTTTGCAGTGTGATCAAAGTACAGTAAAATATATGGTTTTCCAAACTACTGGTTT